GTTTTCCGTCAACAACCTCCATTTTAGACCCACCTACAGACACGTGACTGGACAGACGCCACATGCAGTAAATTTGTGCCCACGTGGGTTTTGGTGGCATCAGTACAGTGAATCTATTAGCTCAAACGATTAAAAAGAGGTGTCAATCACGCAAATTGACCAAAAGAAGCCAAAGTTACAGCCCCTCAGATTTTAAAGGGCCAGAGGCCAATCAAACGCTCTATGCACACTGCAGAAAAGGGCCATTACCATGTTAATGTGTGGTTAATTCTTCAAAAATATATTTTTAAAAAAAGCATTTTAGGACTGTTACTAAAATTTATTAATTTCTCCTCTTTAATACCTAAAAAAATCAACTGGCATGGTGTCCAATTGTGTGCCAGAATTGGACATTTTTGTACAACGTCTGGACATTCATGTATTGACAGGGCTGTAATTTTTCACTGTTTCACTTTAGAAACATAAATCTTTGCACAGATAATGTTTATATGTTGGTTACTGAATTTCTGGAACCAAATGTGATCTGAGTCATATTTTTAAAAGAGTTATATGCTAAAAAATTGTAAAAAAAAATTACCCGAAGATAAAATCTACTTACTTTTTCTGTGTTCCAGTCTCAGTAACTTTGGCACAGTAATATCATCACCTCTGATGAAATTTCCCAAGTGTTAGCTTTATTTTGATACCAAGATTGTAAGGACAGAGTTTGTAATTGCAGAGAAATAATCAATTAAATTTGGGCATTACATTTTCGAGCAGGAAGCTCAGAAACCCCCTTGGGGCTTAAGAGGTTAGTCTGTTCCCTTTTTGTGTCTGTCACTGTGTGTCCTCCCCAGCATCTCCTGTGTTAGTTATTTGTGCCTGTCTTGTCTCTATGTTTAGCTGTCCGTTTCCCTCAGTCATATCTCTGTGTGTCTGTCAGGTTTCTCTCGCCCTCTCTGTCTCTCGCTCTCTGTCTGTTTCCTGTTTTATTGTGATAATCTCTTGTCTTGGTTGTGTTAGCTTTTCTTGTTGTTTTGAGTTTGTTCTCCAGCTTCAGCAGTGAAGCTGTTTGAGTGTTTGAGTTCAGTTAGTCTGTGTCTGCATTTTGGAGCCTCTCTCTGCCTGCCACACACCTTCACATGACAGACTGGTGAAAAGATGTGTAATTTTTCAGCTTACTGTTGTGAATTTGTAACAAAAAAATAAATGTTTTTTCTTCAGTGTTTATTATTTGCAGTACTGTATGTGAGCAGAATTATATGCCATTTTTCGCATATGATATTATTTCACTTTTAA